TCAGCTTTATTAAATATGATTTCACCAAATTATGATGAACCTTGTGGTTTCTCATTCATGGAAGTGGTTGTAGTTGCTGGAGACCCCAGGGTGTGCCTATTTTAGGTCACAGGTGTGAGCTGTTACTTCTGCTTCTCCCCTCAGGCAATAGAAACTCTGACAGGCGCGCTGTTTCAGCGACCACCCCTCATTGCTGCTGTCAAACGACAACTGAGAGTCAGAACCATCTATGAGAGTAAGCTGGTGGAATATGATCCTGAGAGGAGATTAGGTAAAACAGAGCTTCCCTGACTTCTTCCTATTAGCCTGACAGCTGATAAAATTTCCTATGAAATGGGCTTCTTCCTATTCTTGGCAGATGTCTTAAGACTTAAATCCTCACCACCATCAAGCAGTAACTGCTTCTTGCATTACTTTGGTGTGCTGAGAAGAACATCTCATTTATTTTCTGTATTGCTGCATCCTTCACTGAAGAGCCAAATGATGACAATTAGATGGCATTAGCACTCAGTGCAAAGATGACCTTCATCTATCACCCCAGCCTGATGGCTCTGTGAAGGCTTGGACATACAGCTTCTCTCAGAGGGAGCATGTAGATATGGTTCATTTCTAGATAGGTATTTAAGTGCTCTTCTGTCCTGTCCTGCATTTCAGGTATCTTCTGGGTGAGCTGTGAAGCGGGCACGTACATCCGAACACTCTGTGTCCACCTTGGTTTGCTGCTTGGCGTCGGGGGCCAGATGCAGGAGCTCCGCAGGGTGCGCTCAGGCATCCTGGGTGAGAAGGTAGAGTGGTAACTTTAACTATAAACAGCAAATTTGAAATTGCCAGAATTGCAGGAGTTCCTTGGAACCATGTTAGTTTAGCAGTGTTAGGAGAAGGTATGGGTGCATGGCGGCGGGGAGGAGTTTGTGAATAGCCTCAAACACGTCAGAGTTGTTGCCATACATGGTCTGTAACCAAAGTGTTGAGTTCAGTTCAGGGTGTTGCCCCTGTTCTGGTAATTAAACTTTGGGACAGTGAGTGACTGGGAAGTGCACCATGGTGCCTGAAAGTTTGGTTTATGCCACCTGTGTTTCTCAGCCTACAAACCACACATGTGCCGTGAGTTCAGGCGTGTGAGCTGTCTGCACAGCAATCTGTGACCACTTGGTGTCAGGGCAGAACTGGGGGAACTTGCTTCATCAAAATGAGCCTGGGAGATGCAGTCTTGTGTGGTCTTGAACACTTGCATAGTCTTTTCACTCTGGTCATAGCTGGATCCTGCTGCCAGTCCAAACTCCAGAGCTAATTTCTTTCCTTGCAAAGCAGGAGTGTCAGAGTAAAAGGGCTTTCTCACCCATCTGCTCTTACCACAGCTGTGATCACTGGCAGTAATTTCTGAATTCCAGGTGTTATGTGCTTACAGCTGCTTCAAGAATTTATTCCATGTCACAGATAGAAGAGCTGGTTAATTTAGTCTTCTACTCTAATCTTGGCCTAGAAGTCCCAGGTATTTGTTCAAATTTGTTCATATTTTGAAGTTTCATGTGGACAGACCTTACACACTAGATCCAAGTGCTGTCTGAGATTAGGAAGGTTGAAGCCTGTGGTAGGACAACTCAGGCTGACCCCAATCTGTTGATGGAAAGTGTTTTGCCTCTTTTAGGTTGCTTCTTTGATGCTTCTGAGTTGAGCATCTGTTTTTCACTCTTTCAGCGCACTATTTGCTGTTGGACTTTAGCTGTTTTCTTGTTGGTGTTTTGAGTTGGTGGCTGGTAGGAGAGTTTAGAGGGGTTATGTCTTTGCAGGACAACATGGTGACTATGCACGATGTTCTGGATGCCCAGTGGCAGTACGACAATAACAAGGATGACAGCTACCTGCGGAGAGTTATCCTGCCCTTGGAGAAGCTGCTGACTTCACACAAGCGGCTAGTCATGAAAGACAGCGCGGTGAGTCCTGAGAGCGTGCTGTTTGACAGCCAGGGACTGCAAAGTGTCCTCCTGGTTTGTACAGCTAAGATAAGAATGAGTGATCAGGATCCACGTGGTGTCCAGCACTGTCCTGATTGTGAGTGTGTAGGAACTAGTATGGGCCACTGCCAGATTGGCAGTAAGATGTAAGAGTCAAGAACTGAGTGCTTTCCTCGCTTCGGGAGGATGCAGATGGTTATAAGAGATCTGCCTCATGAGTTTGCTGTGATAGGTGCTTTGTTTTGCTTGCTTTTTCCAGAGCTCCCAAGTTTTATGTAGTGGACAATAAGCAATAGATAGGTGGGGATGTTATTGCTGGGACAGTAATGGCAGCGGGAAGCTAAAATATTAGAGGCACTTCTTACTTTGGTTCTTATTTATTCTCTAATAGCTTAAAAACCCTCCTGTTCCCTACATTCTCAGGTTAATGCCATTTGCTATGGAGCCAAGATCATGCTGCCTGGTGTCCTGAGATATGAAGATGGTATTGAGCTTAATCAGGAGATAGTTGTCATCACCACGAAAGGAGAAGCTATCTGCCTAGGTATGGAGCTCCTTGTTCTTCTTGTGCCCAGCTAACTGCAGAAATAACAGACTGTGTTCCAGTGAGTGCACGACAAATGAGTCTCCATGCACAGAAGGTTTAAATAGCGCTTCCTGATGGGGACTGTAGGTTAATATGGCCCAAGGCAGCTGGTGGTGGGCCGGATGTTAAGAAACAGCGGCTGCATCAGTCCTTGGCGAGGTGTGAAGAGTTCCTCAGCCTGGTTTCAGCTGTGTGATGCTCAGGTACACTCTGTGAGGTGATGACGACGTTTATCCATTCTCTGAGTGCAGTGGTGC